TAATTATACAAATACAAATGTACAATATTAAATATACAAAATATACACATACTTTTGATGAAACTGTACATCCATCCCAATCACGGTACAATATAAAGTCATTCTTTAAGGGAACTTATTACCTGAATAGATCCAATAGCATTGAAACACAATAGCTTCTATTTCTAAATATCTTGCATTTGCAATCTTAGAACTAGCATCAGAGATGTGAAGATAATGAGATACGGGGCAGTAAATAGTATATTTTACCCCATCTATAAGAAGAGTTCCACTTTCCATAGTCATTTAGATAAGAAACAGAAAACACTATAAATCACTGCAAAGTGATTTGTACTTTAAAGCACAAATCTTAACAATTTGTATGCCAAAAAGTGATTAATCATACTTTATTTTCTTTTCAAATTTTCTTACCCTGCCTCATGAATAAGCCAATACACCTTATCTTCTGTCCTATCTGAAAAATCTGGATTAACAGCCAAGGCCGAATTCCATTCTAGCAATAGGGGTACATAGCTACAAATAATTCTCTTGAAGTCAAAGGAAAATAACAACAAATACAGGAACACCTTACTCTGAAGTTCCTTTATTTTGGTTTAAACCTCTCTTAACAGGCTCTTTTCAAGTCTTAGGAGCATTATTAAACGATCCTACTATTGATTTTCCGCGCTTAGTACTGGTAGAATGGAGTAACTTGAAGCACTAATGACTGAAGTCCACTCACTGTCTAAAGGACAGGTACAAAGGCAGACGTACTTGGAACTCATTCCTCCAACCATCCTCATAACTTAGACTTCAGTGCCTGGAAATAGGACAGGTGGGAAATAGGACACAGAACTCAACTCATCTCTCTTACTTAAATATAGCACTGTTTCTATTTCTGTTACTTATCTTGGGAAATTTCATAAGTATTGGTATATTTTGCTATTCAGCATGAAGCCGTATGCTTCATTTCTACCTTTGAAATCCAAATTTCCAAGCAATCACTTTTTGAAAAGCATTCCTCTATTTTCAGCTTCATTCTCCATGGGCCATTTATTTGTGATGCCAAGCCGTTGAGTAACTAGAGGTTATAATAAGAATTTGTCATGCCAGAGTCCATCTTTTAAAAGAAAAGCTTTGAAGACAAACACACCAATTTTTTAAATGAGTAGAATAAACGGGCATTTCACATAAAGGGGGGGGGAGAAAAGGAATGTCTCCTAAGTTCAACCTCATAAATAATAAGGCAAATGCACATTAAAACCACAATGAGACACCATTTCACACCCCATCAGATTAGCAAAAATTTGTAGTCCTACAATACCAAGTGTTGATGAGGATGTAACAGTAGAGAAATTCTCATACAGATTGGTAAGAGCGGGGAGGTGTCTTTAGGGTGATATGTCAGGATGTCTTTAAAATGGTTCAGCAAAAAAAAAAAAAAAAAAAAGTGTGGAGAGGGAGAAAGAAAAGGCAAATATGACAGTCTGTTTTACAAAGTAGGGGGCAGGCTCTAGGGGCAGAGTGCAAATTTGAATCATTGTTCTGCCCCTCATTAATTGTAGTCTGGTTTAATTATTTAAGCTCTCTTTATGTCAGTTTAATTATCTGTGAAATGGGAGTAATGGTGGTATGTACTTGCTAGAGGTGTGAGCATTTAATGTGGTAATTCACGGGATGTACTTAAAGTACTCGCTGCCTTGTCATAAGCCTTCACTAAATGTCGGTTATTACCTCTGTTGGCTCCATTTTGCAGATGATGTAAGTTGACACTCAGAAGGGTAAAGCAAATTATCCAGTCACATCTACTGGTGGTTGAGGCAGCAGGGAAACTCTCCCACAGATCAGCAGAGACACCCACACAGCAGCTCCCTAACAGCAAACACTTGAGACAACCCAAATGCCCATCCACTGTCGAATGGCTCACTAAATAACGCTATGGTTTTTTTTTTTAAGATTTTATTTATTTAGAGAGTGCACACATGCACACACAAATGGGGGGAGGGGCAGAAGGACAGGGAGATTGAGAATCTCAAGCAGACTCCGCACTGAGCTCTGGAGCCCAATGCGGGGCTCAATCCCATCACCCTGACATCACGACCTGAGCCGAAATCAAGAGTCGGACGCTTAACCGACTGAGGCACCCAGGAGCCCCAATAGTGCCCCAGAATGCTATACAGCCAGGGAAAGGAAAAAGATGTATTAACATGAAGAGTATAGAAAAAAATTAAAATTAACTAAAGGGTTTTATTTTATCCTTAAAGATTTTAGCTGGTCCACCAACGAGAGGACTGATTAAGCCATAAAAACTACCATAAAAAAAAAAAATCAAAAAATATTTTTGTTCTGTAACCCTTTGTACTTCATCTCAGCACTTTTTGTTAAGATCAAGAAAGCACTCCCTAAATGTTTAACACGTGTAGTTATATAAACCGAAGAATTATTCCTACAATGAACAAATTTATAGCCATTAAAATCATGTTTTTAAATGAATATTTAGTGACATGGTGAAATGCTCACTATATAAACTTTAAAAATATAGGATTCCCAAACTTTAAATATATACAAATATATACATTTGCATCCATACATGTGTATATATATATACATCTATGTATATATAATGTATTTATATATATACATACATATTTAAACATATATATCACAGAAGAATAAACTTGAAAGTTTATATACCAAAATAAACTTTTTCTATTTTTTAAAGATTTTATTTTTATTTTATTTATTTATTTTTAAGTAGGCTCCACACCCAAAGTGGGGATTGAACTACAACCCCAAGATCAAGAGTTGCATGCTCTCTACCCATTGAGCCAGCCAGGTGCCCCTAAAATTCACCTTTTCTTCAAAGTTAAAAGTGGTTTTCTTTGATGGGAGAGATGGAAAATGATTTTTTCTTTTTTTCTTCTCATCTGTAATCTGTATTTTCTACAGTGAAAATGTACAACTGGTGATTCTGGAGGGTAATTAGCCAGCATCTAATACAGTCACGGATTGCACACTACGGTCCTGAAACATTTCCACTCCTGGGTGAAAGTCTTCACCTGTGCTCAAGGAGACATTTACAAGAAGGTTCATAGCAACATTGCTTATGATAGAGAAAAAGTAGAAACAACCTACATCTATCCACAGAAGCATCAACATCTACCTGGTGAATAGGCAGCAGTTAAAAAGAAGAAACAGAGCTATAGTAATCAAGGTGGGTTTATCACAAAAATCTAATGTGGAGTGATATACCTGAAAATGGCAGAAATGTAGGTGGAGTACGATACTGTTTATATAAAGATTAAAAACATACAAAATAACATTATGTATGTTTACTATATATATTATTTATGTATATATGCATATGTAGGAAAAATATTTTTAATGCATGGGAATGATAAACACCAAATGCAGGGTAAAGGTCATCTGTGGGATGTGAGGAAGGGAAATGAGATGGGGGGACACATGGCTGGGGAGGGCAGGAAGGGACTACAAGTACACCTGTAATGCTTTATCTCTTGGACGATTAGAGCACAGGAGTTTGTGGTTATACAATTTTCTGCGGGGTGTGTGTGTGTGTGTGTGTGTGTGTATGTGTCCCTGAAATGTTTCAGAATGAAATAGTCCTCACATAATGAAAGAAAAATTTTAAACTGTTTATCTCTAGAAATGCAATTATTTGGAGGTGCAATCATGGACATTTAGACTAATTTAGTGCGTGGGGGGCACTGGAAGGGGGTGGGGGTTCCAGTTGGACTAATTTTTAAAAATATTTTTACATCTTTATTTTGGCAAAAACAAGATCTCCAAACCAGAACATTTAATTCCTGCAAAAACAGAAACGATTTTTAATGAGAATATTTGATTATAATTATTACCCAATTTCGTTTAAAACCCCAACTCTCTCTATTCGTATGCCCCCCTTGCCTGAAACATACATGTTTAAAAGCAGGAGGTAAAGAAAGACCGAATCTGTGAAAAGTTGTAGTCATTTTATTCTTTCAGCAAATTCTAGATTTAGGGGAAACTCCGTGGCTCAGAGCAGGCCCTGGATGACTAAGCCACGCTTCCAGCCTTGCTGAGGCGATCATCCCAACCCTGGCCGACTTTGTCAGAGGACAGAATGACACATTTGCACATGGTTAAACGGTTTCGTCAGTGAAATAGATTTAAACTAGCTTTAAAAGAAGGAAAAGAAAACATTCAGTGCATTCCACATTTTCCCTTAAGTATTCTGTACCTTCCAGTTATGCAGCATTTTGCATGCCTCAGAGCTCCTAAACACTATTTAAATTGTGCACATAAATCATTTCATCCCCCGTGAAATATAGCTGTGCCTCCAGGAGAAATAAGGGGTGACCTGTCCCAAGTGGCTATACCCTGGGGTGAGGCCCCGGCTCTGCCAAAATCAAAGGCAGGTACATTGAAGGGACCGACGTTCTGTCTTGAAGGCTGGGAAGTCTGGAGAAGTTCTCATCTTTTCCTGTATACATCCACCACAATTTTGGGTTAAAAGCTCTTTTTGAAAAACTGGGAAATTCTACCTCCTGACCACATGAGCTCAGCAGTTCCAGCGTGTGGGAGATGTAGGGTTACAAGAGCAGAAAGGATCATCAAACAAGACAGGCTGGGGAGAAACTCCAAAGAGTGGATCTGGAAAAGGTTACACAACCCAGAAATTAACAAAGATGTAAGGGGGGGGTGCCCGTGTGTTCCCAGCAAAAAAGACTTTCCTTTCTCCCCAAGAATCCACCGTGGGGGTTCCTGTAACTCACAGACCAGACTTGATTGACAACAATCTTGTTTACACACCACACACCCTCGGGGAGAGCAGTCCGGCCGTTCACAAGCTACTGCCTGCGTTCTAGACGCTTCCCGGGGAAAGGAGCCGGCCTGCGTGGGGGCGGGGCCGCTGGGCCCGGGGACGCCCGGCCCGCGGCTGCACCCCCGCCCCGCCCACCCCGTCACGGCGCTCCCGGCCCGAGCGGGTGCAGGGGAGGAGTGAAACCAGCGCTTGGGTCAGCCTACACCAGGGTCGGGCCGCCGAGGGCTGGTCGATACTCGGCGAGCCTATGAAGACAGCTGGCATCTGCCCGGCGCGGCCGAGGGCCTGCACACATGTGCACTAGTTCTGCATTGCTAATCAGGACCTCTAAGGAACCTAGGTAATTTCCAAACCCAAACCCTGCCCCCACCCCCCAACACACACACACGCACACACACAGGCGCGCACCCCGGGTCTGTAGGAATTGCTAATGAGTGCGCCTCCTGTCCGAGGAACGTGCTTAGCAGCCGAATTCAGCGGCAAGGAGGATCTGAAGGCGGCCCTTGCCCCAGGCCTCCCCAGGGAGAAGAGCGAGGTCGGCCTCTGGAACAGCCTGGAAGCTTAGACTTTTCCTACGGCGAAGGAGAGAAGTCCACTTCACCTGAGGCGAAGCCGAAAATCGCTCTTTCCTTTGGGGCCTGGCTCTCCCTGTAACTAAAAGGGCCACATCTAGTGTAAAATTTTTCTAAATTTCACTAATTTGCTTTCTGTTAAATAATTATGGGTTCTCAGTTTCAGAATTAAATCCATCACCTACCAGGACGGCTCCCCAGACTGGGCAGCACATCCAGAAAAATTAGGTGGCTGAGGGGGTTGCTGTAAATGCCTGCCCAGGGGGGCCTGGGTGGCTCAGCTGGTTAAGCTTCCCACTCTTGATTTGGGGTCAGGTCCTGCTCTAAGGGTTCTGAGCTCCAGGCCCCTGTGGGGCTCCTGCTCACCGGGGAGTCTGCTTAAGATTCTCCCTTGACCCCTCCTCCCCCTGCTCACTCTCGCTGTCTAAAATAAATAAATCTTAAAACAAAAAAACAAAACACCTGCCGAGGCTGACCAGGGAAAAGCCTTCCCTAGGCTGTGTTGTTGGTGTAAAGTCACACAGACCAGCTCCTTGCAGGACCAGCTCTTTAAATTCCCAGGCTTCCATACTATGGGAAGAAATGACTTCACCCTTGACTTGGTTTTCTCCGCAACCCTTTCTCAGAAGCTGTTTTCATTTCCTTCTTTCCCTCCTTTCTCTCCCTCTTCCTTTTGCTCCCTCTGCCACAGGGTCACTTCTTTCTAGACGCGGGAAGTCTGTCGAGGAGGGAGAATTACAGGGAAACGTAGGGAAGGGAGATGCTATGGGTCAGAAAAGGACAAGGGCAGAGCCGGGCCTTCTGCTCCTCCTACCAAGTGAATGTGCTAGGAGAACCAGCGGGGTTGGGTCTGGACATGCTTTTCTCTTCTGCCGCTCGCAGAAGTTTTGTGTTTCTTTAACTTCAGTGATCTTCGGTGCCCCTGAAGGCAAGTGGGACACCTGAATCATAAAGCTTCAGATGAGCTGAGTTCAAAGTTGTATTTTCCACTTTTAAAGCCCTCCATAAATTAGGGCAAAGGTAGTTGGAATCCGGCCTCCTGACCTGGCGTTCCTCTGAGATTATTAAGGTTGGCTAAGCAATCTACTCTTGAGAAACCAGGTGTATCGAGACCTGGGTGGAGGGAACGGGAGGTTGCTGTGGAACTTTCTTCTCCTCTGCGGCATGCGCCAGTCTTTCCGGAGCCGTCCTGCAGGTTTGCCGCCAGAGCTACGTGGTGTCCGCCTGCCTTTTGCGGCGAAAGTCCCAGAACACCAGGCTTCCCAGCTCAATATCGGGCTGACCTTGAATGAGGAGGAAGGCGGTCACTGTGAATTGTGGGCACCGGGCATGGGAGACCCCTTCCCTCCCTCTCCCACCCCACCTCCACCCCTCTCCTCTTTAGTAGCCTAGTTAGCTAATGTTCAGAGAAGTGATGCTGCACAGCTCTGCTCCCAATTTGAACGGAGTCCTTAGGATTAAAGTGATACGCTATAGTCAAAAGGAACATTCTGCACAGATCTAAGTTGATCCTAAAGAAAGCAATTAAGTCTTACTGTTCTCTGTTTTCCTTATCTTCATGTGGAATCATATTTTGTCCAGGTCTCTAATGTTTTTACATTTCCAGCAGAAGAGTTGTTTCTTCCTAAGACTCTTAGAACAGTTATGGTGTTGGGGATAGTCCGTAATTCCTGTTTTTTCCCTCTGAGCCTGTCTACTTGCAAATCTGCTGCAGCTGTAGCAACTGACATTTTTTTTAAACCTGGCTGCAGAGATGCCATTTGGTATAATTTTCCAGGTTGTGCTGGACCGTTTCCCCAGGGTGAACTCAGAGACCCTGGGACATGTATGTATGTTGAGACAGGAGAGGAACTTAGAGCAACAGAAGGATGGGGACTTAAAGTGGCTTCGTTCCAAAGCCCCGGGATGGCCCCACAATCACACCAAATTCTGTTCTGGAAGATCTGTCTGCCCACTCACATCAGGTTCCCATAATCACAAGGACAAACATAGATGGGAGTGTGAACCGTGGAAGTATCAGCTCCTTATGGAACAAGCTTGTTGGTGTTTATTAATGTCGGCCATCCGAATAGACGGGGCCCTAGAAAAAACCGAGGCTATTTTGTGGGAAGAAAACAAAAAAAGAAAGAGAACCACCCATCAAAAATTAAGGAAATCTTTCCCACTCTGCTTTGTACTGTGATCTAAACCTACTGGAAGTCTGACCCAAAAGATAAGCCCAAATTGATGAGCGTATCATGCTGTCAGCTCCGTGGGTTTTGCAAACAGCTGAGAAATGACTCCATTCCTTGTGACTCTCCAAGACATTCTCCAGTGAGCTTCATGGTGACACCAACTGCTCGTCCACCTCCTGTTATTTACTGGAGGGTGTTCTGTAAAGAGGAAAGCACCCCTTTCTATTTTATTCCGATATAGTGGTCATTGTTATATCTCAGTGGTCCCTAAGGCATTTTATAGAGGAATCTAAATCCATCTGTTATTATGGGAAAAATACAGACTTTCAGGGAACAAAAATGAGAAAATCCTTTGGCTGAAATAATTCACTTTTTATGAAGTCTCTCAGTAACAAAGAAACTGTCTGGGTGGTAAAGAAACTCAAAACCATGGGGGAATGACCCTCAGATTGCGTTTTGTTTTTACTCTTTGGTTATGCTCTCTGGATCAATCAGACAAATTAGAAAAATCAATGATATTCAAAGTGGGGTAGTCTTTTACCCAGGACTTGGACAACTATTTTGCTGGAAATATAAAAACATTAGGGAATTGGGACAAACTATGATTCCACATAAAGATAAGGGAAACAGAAAACGGTAAGAATTAATTGCTCTCTTTAGGATCAGCTTAGATTTGTGCAGAATGTTTGTTTTGACTATATGACTTTCATCCTAAGGACACCCTTACAAATCAGCATTGATGTGTCCTTAAAAAATAATGTGACAACCAACTCTTAATTAAATCATAGTGCAGAAAGAACTTATTATAACCAGCAGACCAAGGGACCATTCATAGAAGAGATGGATTAACTGGACGCAGAGGGGGGGTTTGGGGGAAACAACCTAAGTTCCTGATTGTTCCTTTTCTCAAAATTCTTTTTGGCAAAGATTTAATAGCACCAGATATCTATCAGTGTTATGATGACCAGACTATCAAACTTGTTTCATTAAACACTCTCTCTTCTCCTACAACTGTCTAAACAGGATTTTCCCACTTAGCACTATATCAATCCAGAGTTATGACTGGGCCATAATTTAGAAGATCCCTTGTATGGAATATTAATATTTGTATAGTTATTAAAGTCTTAATGATTTGCACAGGGACTCTAAAATTAAATATAGCATGTCATTTATAGTCTTTTCTAAAACTATAAATGAAAAATTACTTTCTAGCCTTTAGTTTTTGCTGGAACCCCTTGTAGATGACTTCTATTTTAAGTGCCAGATATAACACTTTTTAGAAAGTAAAGCACTTAAGCGAAATCTTTTACATTGTATAATACGGTGGTTTTCAGATGATGTTGATCCAAGTACTCTTTCCTGAACAAAGCATTAAGTAGAAGACAAATAAATGAAACAGATAAAAACAAAAGTGTTGACGGGTTAAGGGAGGAACAGGTTTTAGGGCTTTCAACCCTCGTAAGGGCCACAAAAGCACTTTTGAGGAACCAGTAGGGCATGGGGGAGTGTGAAAGCCAGGGTAGTGTTGTCAGACTCATTAAAAAGAAAATAAATAAAAGCCCTGTTGAGATGACATACCTCTTCCTTGCACCTGTATATAAGGATGTATGCGTGTGTGTGTGTGTGTGTGTGAAGTACCATTCAATTCATATCTGGCTCCTGTCTTTATCATTCTTACTCTCAAACCGCAACTTTTGTGGCATTTTATCCTAGTGCAAATGGATTCTGTGTCTATGAATTTTTAGATTCTCAGTTGTGTCCTGGCAGTTCAGAACAGGCCAGAAGGCATGTTAGGCCAAAAGACATGTGACCTCGATGAAATTATTTAGATAAGTGTTTCTATGTTGTCGAATAACAGTAACATCTCAAGAAATGATTGTTAAATCATTATTTGAACTTTAAAGGCTCTTTCATCCAAAAAAGGTGATTTGTTGGCAGTTGAGAACACTGAGGTCCTGGCAGTTGAGGGAGATCACCAAGTCAGAGGGGTACATTCCAGACCCCAGCACAAGTCTCTTGGCCTGAGTCCTATGCTTTTTCCGCCACCCTGTGTAATGCATTGCATAAATTTATATGAAATTTTTACAAGTTGCAAATATCAAAAAGAACTATCAACTGAAACCAATTATTTGTACGTTTGTTTAGACTAATCCAGTCTGGTTCCCCATTGAAGTCATAGTCAAGAAGCACAGCTTGTGTTAGATCACAGATCCTGGAAACATCCTTAAGCAACAGAAGTCATTGCAAAAGGATTTCAGGAGGTCACGCGGGGAGACAAAGAACCCCAAGGTATGCCAAGCATCCGTGCCTTCTTTGGAAAGTGGGGGGGTTGCGAGCATATACTGAAACACATCAGCAAATGTGAGGCTGGGACAGGAAGGCTGAAACTTTGGTGTCACTGACTCCGGCCATCGTCCACATCGAGAGCTCCTTTCACACCCAATTCCTTGAGCAGAGAGTGGGGAGACATCATCCCAGAGGCTGACCTTCTTATAAACCCAGAGCTTTCAATCTTACGCGGGCTGTAGAGGACTCTGAGTTTGGCCTGTATAGCACACGTATTACCAGAATAAGGGAGCTTCGTGTGGTTTTTAACTCAGCTAAGCCTATTTGTGCATAGGCCACATACATTTCCAAATGACCTAATTGGACATTTTATTTCTAAGTCCCATTTCATGAACATGTCATTCTCTGCTTCAGGCTACGTTGGATTTGTTTTCGTTCCTTCTGAGCTTTCAAGAGAAATACTAAAGGAGGATTTGCTGTGAACCAAATCAATACACCGGTTTCCATTTTTGTTTTTTCGGCGACTTTGCTTCTGCCGGGGAATATTAGCTCCTGTAATGTTAGTGGTTGTGTGCCTAATTGTATATACAATTATAGGACATGCATTTCAATATTTGTAAATGCAAATGCTTCCGAGAGGACAAGCACCACAGGCTTCTGTGAGGCAGCTGGACCAGGGGGGCAGGCCAGGGCAGCCCCAACCATGAGTGGAGTAAGTCTCCAGGTGGGGGCTTCCCTGTTGTTCCGTAGAGTTTGGCAAATGGAAGATACTCATCTTTGTAAAAGCATCTGGGGGTACTTGGGGGGGTAATGATCCTGTTTGTTATCTGGTTTATTCAGATTTTGTTATAAATGGGATGGCCTTGATTTTTAAATGACATCATTGCTACAGCATTTGAAGTTTCCTTAGAACAAAGCTAAGAGGAAAAAGAATAGCGCTTATTGTAGATCCTCTAACACTTGCTCACCGTGCCTCGCAGGATTGGTGTGAAGAGCAAATAAGTTTGAAAATTGTAAGGGACACTGCAAAATGTGAAGAACTCTTCCCATTTATTGGTACAGATACATATTTGTGTTCCATTTCAGCATGGAAGCAAAGATGAAAAATTCAGATTACTGCTTCCACCCACTCTTATGAAAACGTATGACACTTAACCTGGTTTTTTCTTTAATAGCTTTATTGAAGTACAATTTACATACCCTAAAATCCACTCCTTGTGAGTGCACACTGATTGATTTTGAGTAAATGCATATGGTCGTGCAACCATCACTAAAATCCAGTTTGAGAACATTTCCATGACCCCAGTAAGTTCCCGTATGCCCGTTTGCAGTTCATCCCTTTTCTCACCCCAGCCCCAAGAAATCACTGATGTGCCGACCATCTCTATAAATTTGCCTTTTCTGGACATTTCATATGAATGGAGTCTTTTGCATCTGGCTTCTATCATTTAGCTTATGTTTTTGACATTCATCTATGTTGTAACATATATCAGTACTTGGCTCCTTATTATTGCTGAATACTATTCCATTTTGTTCATCAACTGACAGACATTTGGGTTGTTTTGAGTGTCTGACTATCATGAAAAATGCTGCTATGAGCATTCACCTACGTATCTTTGTCGGGATATCTGTTTTCATTTCTCTTGGGTAGACTCCTAGGAGTGAATTGTTGGGGTTTATGGTAAGTTTATGTTTACATTTTTAAGAAACTGCCCATCTGTTACCCAAAGTGGCTGTATCATTTTACTATTTCCATCTGCAATGTGCAGGGGTTCTGATGTCTCCACATCCTTGCCAACACTTGATATTGTCTGTCTTTTTGATGACAGCCATCCTGGTGGGTGTGTAGTGGTATCTCATGGCAGTTTGGATTTGCATTTCCCTAATGATTAATGATGTTGAGCAACTTTTCATGTGTTTGTTTGTTATTAGTATATCCTCTTTTTTTTTTTGAAATCTCTATTCAAATCTTTTGCCTATTTTTAAAAACTGGGTTGAGTGCTTGTTATTGAGCTAGACCCTTCTTGTTTTTTGCCATTAATTACCACTTCACCTTCCACCAACGTGTGTTCTCTCCTATTCTGCTGCCTTCCAATGTTACTCTACGTCTGTACCTATTTAATTTTTAGTACGAATACATTTTTTCTTCTCCAAACTTGCTTTTGAAACTTCCTCAAGAAGAAGAGCACTTCTACCTCATTTATTTATTTTTTTATAAGCCGGACCTAGCAAGATATTCTGAAAATAATATCTCTTCAATGAATATTTGTCACATAAATGATGAAAAGCTCATCATCTGTATGTCAATTTTGTCAGCACACCTGGTATTATAATTTAGCAAGTCACATTTAATTTTCTTGATTATTACTTATTTTGTACACCCAAGGTTTCAGTTTTAAAACCATTTTGGAAATGAAGGAGTGCTTCAGTTAGTAAACATGGACAAACAAATTTAATTATCAGAGAAAGATTAAAAGAGGTTCTGGGGAAACATTAATAGTTTGTGGTGGTTAATATGTTAAATTCAGATTTTTAGGTATTATAATTTTTCTGCAAATGTCTCCGAGTGCCTTAACAAAAATAGCACAAAACATAATTATCAAAACAGGCAACTCTCTCAGGTATACCCACGAGTAAGTTGAAAGCAAACCAAATGCTTCACCTATCACCAGTGCTCTGGACCCCAAATAAAAGATTTCTAATTATAAATATAAACCTACTTATGTATCAGCCTGAATATAAAACAAAAACAACTTTCCCTATAACTAGTAAATAACAGGGGGAAAAAAACTTTTGAGCCTTGCCTGGAAGGATGCCAAAGATAGACACTTGAGAATATTTTAAGGTAATTAGCATTTTTGTCTCTGTGTCAGTAAAAATAGGCTTTTGCCTGCTACTAATTTTCTTTGGGTTAGTGAGACCATTGTATGAGTGAAGGGCCGTTAAAGGCCATTTATATTGTACAAACAGAGGCACAAATTAGAGAGGGCATGTTAATAAGGAGAGGGGGCTTATGAGTGCTCAATTATGAGCCCAGAACCTGCTTCTATTTTAGGGGGATAGAAAACACATCAATCTTGCTTTTAGAATATTTTCAATTAAAATGAACAGCACAGGGCATACTAAGAACCAGCAAAGGCTGCAGCCATGTGGACTTTGAATCATTCTTACATACCATCTTAGTATCAAAACTGATACACGTTTAATGGGCTGAAATATAATTTGAGATCCCCAAAGACCAAGGTCCCTGAGCTGCATAAGAAATTCTAAAGGAAAAGAAATCTAAAACTGGACCATCTGTTTCACTTTTCAGCCTGCAACCTTTAGAGTAGAGGACTTGGAGGAAGATGCTGTTTAAACCTGAATAGGGATGAAATATACTACATAAACTCACAACATATCATTAACTTCCTCTCTCCTAAGCACAATCAATAGCGTCCGCAAGCCTAGTTCTGCATGCTGAAAACAAAGCACGATGTTCGCTGCATAGAGCATTCACTTCTCCCCACCCCGAAACAATAGTGGGTAGATTACTCTCTGGCCCTAGGCAGTGCCTCCTGCCTAATTGGGGTGAGCAAATGAAGGCACCCACTCTACCCAGGCAAGGGTTTGGGGAATGTAATTATAGTTTGCATGTGCAACTCTATCTGTATAAGCCCAGTTTGCACTTTCTTTAGCCACTACTTTCAGTGGTTTCCTAGCATGTTCCTTATACGTATTTAGGAAGACATTTCAGGATATCGTCCCCAAGGTTACCTTTTGCCCTTATGCAAAATACCGATTTTAGAAATAGAGCTAACCAGGCAGTCAGGGTTCACGGAATGCTCACAGAGTGGGAAAGGATTAAATAAAGCAGTGAAGGGTGGCAGGAATGAATGCCTTTGGTCTTGAGGTAGAGAAACCACTACCCCCCCAGTGCTATTCACTAAGCCCAGTGCTGAACTTCTGCAAACCATGATTGTATTGGATTTTTGGCCTCTCTTTTTCAGGTGGCGCTAGTCCTCTCTCTTGAAACCTTTGTAACTATTAAGGCTGAAGTGCCATTTAAAGAAAAAGGAAGGCAAAGAAATGAGCTATAGGAAGCCATGGTGAGTCATTTGTCAATGAATCCTTTCTTGAGCTCATTGGGGAACCAGGCTTCAGGGTGATGGGATCATAGGCTTTATTTTGAATTTGTCTGTTATAACCTTAAAGCTTTCTTCAAGGGAGATGCATAGGGTTCACGTCTGATACACAGTGTCTGTTGCTATGGAAAGGTTTGTACTTAACCATATTATGGTGTTCTGTTAGGAGCAGAGAAACCAGAATATCAGGTCATCTCTTTTCAAAAACTGTGTTTTATGGGCGAAAACAAAACAAAAAACATGAACAGCATGTACTTCTGACATTAGAGAACAATTATAAAGGCCTGTATGTATCAAGAAGCTGTTATACATTTAAAGATCTGTGGTAGCCTCTTAACTGCAGAAGTTAGTAGTCATATTATAGATGCAGTTACTCACAGTATATAATGGAAGTTCCTCTGATATTTACATCTCTAAGTTCATTTCCATGTTGCATGTCTCATTTCCACCTGAATGTCTCCTGCTCCCTCCACAAGAGAGCTCTCCTTTTGGCATGGTATGTAGTACTGCATTCTTGGTGAGCAGTTTCAACACAAGATGGTACTATGAGCACTTGCTGTTCATGAGTCTTCGTTCAAAATGGAAAGGTGAAGCTTGCCCTAACATTAAAATTTGGACTCTCCTGGAAAAAATGCAATAATTGCTCTAAACACAATCTAGACATTTTCAACTTTCACGTTTTTCTTTGTATCCATTGCAAAGTATTGTTTGTTTCATTTTAAAACAGTAACGTAGGAGCGCCTGGCTGGCTCAGTCGGAGGAGCGTGCCTGGGATTGTGAGTTCGAGCCCCACATTGGGCATAGAGATTACTTAAATAAATATTTTTTTAAAAAGCCAGTAATGTATTGTATGGTGCTAACTCCTACACTTGTAGGAAAACCTGTTGGTTCCCAGCGTGGACCCTTGAGTCAGACTGCCAGGGTGCGAGTCCAGCTATGCCATATGTGGCCTGTGTAATCTTGGGCAAGCTTCTTAACCTCTCTGTGCCTGTTTCCACAGCTGTAACCCTGGGATAATAATAGCACCTATTTTATAGGGCTGAAGTGGGAATTAAATGAGATAGCTCTGGTAAAGCACTGAAAATAGTGCCTGGCACATAGTAGGTATGCAGTAAGGGTTGGTTTATCATCCTACAGTTTTTAATTTTGCCTTTTTCTATGAATATGGAGCCATCTCCCTTAACTCAGAAGCATTTATTTTTTTAAAGATCTTATTTATGTGATAGCGAGATAGCACAAGCAGGGGGAGCAGCAGAGAGAGAGAGAGGGAGAAGCAGGCTCCCCGCTGAGCAGGGAGCCCTATGCTGGGCTCGATCCCAGGACCCTGGGGTCATGACCTGAGCCAAAGGCAGCCGCTTAACCAACTGAGCCACCCAGGTGCCCCAGAAGCATTTAAAATGGTAGAATTTGGGTCATTGTGGCAGGATGTTTGAAAAATACATGGGATTAGGGGACTTTCTGGTGTCCCTCAAATAATACTGAGAATATAATTGACAGTTTCCCTGTAACTCTAAGGAAAATTTGGCCTTTCAATCTGGAGTATGATTCCTTCTTCGCCCATTATCCTGCTAAAATCTCTTTGTGATTCTAGATAATACAAATGTAAAAACAGTTTGTCTAGATGTGTCTGTGTTACAGAGGTCCTTAAATTTCTGTTTACATCAATGCTTCATTAACAGTCCTTATATGTTATTAAACGTAGAAAGAGGTTTAAAATAATTTTGATAATTCACTCCAACATAGGCAAAGACCAGTCATAGTCTATGGGATAGTGGCTTTTACCAGTATCCCAAGTATAATAAACGTAGGCATATAGAAAAAGACAGGGAGTTCACTTTGCGTATCTCCAAACTGACGCATGAGGCTTCAGCCAGACCTGGAATTGATTGTTAGTATTTGGCATTTCTTCGCAACCAGTGGGAGCACTATTAGTAAGTCTGTTTTCTTTACTCGGAACATACATTGGTCCTGTCAAGTTAATCTGGCTACAACTGAATGGAATTTTTTGTTCTTCAAAGGTTGTTGTTGTTGTTTTTTTTTTTTCTTTTCACATTTCATTTATATCCTATCTCTAGTGAGGTCAAATTCCCCTGTAAGTATTATCTGATTTATTCTCATAACATTTCTAAAAGAGATAGGGTCCATTTGTCTATATTATTAACATCTGGTCTTAGAAGATCCACATTTACTTTGTTGAGAAATCACCGAAAATAAATCTCATGTAGACACTAATGGAAAATATAATAGGAGATAAATACAGGTATGTCTGCAAATGAAGATATTTTCCCACCTTTGAAATCTGTTGACTGAAAAGATAAAAATTGGAACAACTTATGATGATTGAATAGTAATAAAAAGCAGCATTTAATCTAAATCTCTCCTTCCTGTGATTACAGCATGCTAAATATTACTCAATACTAGAGAGTCTGCTGATGAGCTATGTAAATGTTTTCCAATAAAATTAAATAGATTAGATTTGGAAAGAGAATGTTAATGTTTCTAAGGCTTTTAAAGAGTCGTCTTTATTTATTTATTTTTTTTTGAAGAGTCTTCTTTAAAAACTTTTCTGAAAAATACATGGTTGCAGACCCTGTCATAGTGTCCGGAGCCCTAGCAGGGTGGACATCATTATTTCCACGCAGATAGAACAGGCAGAGGAAGCCATCATGTTTGAGAAGTTCTTGTCATCTGTGATCCTTTCTTGTTAATTCTCTTCATGTATTTTGCCTGCTGCTTTGTCTTGGTTGTCAGAGTTTGTTACTGAGACAAGAGTAAGATCCTCCTGCTCCGACAGTCGCAGAGTGAGTTGGCATGACACGCCGTGAGGTGAGTCTAATTGCTGTTAATATTGGGAGGATGCATAATCCTATTAAAAAGAAGAACAGTTAAAAAAAAATAAATAAGTGGTGGCAAGTCTAGATTACATGAAAGAAGGACAGCCTGATGAGGGAAAACCCATTAACCTGAAAGGAAGCCATTCTTTGCTTCCAACTTAGCAGTTGTGAGCAAGACCGCATTCATACTAAATCAAAATGGAAACAATTTTTCTGAGTCATTTATAGACTTAAATATTAGGTTTTCTTATATGTGGAAAAAGAGACCCTACTGTGATTACTAATTGTTAATAGAATATCAAAGTGCCACATTAGGTAGGTTTCTAGGGAAACTTTCATCTTGTTCCCTAGGTGTTATTAATGAGTCAAAAAAGGTAACTTTATATTAGGTGGAGAGAACAATACTGTAAACCAGTGCTTCTCAAACTCCAGTGTGCATACGCCCCATCCTAGGATCTGCATAAATTGCAGATTCTGAGTCAGTAGCTCCTGGGTGGGGCCTGAGATGCTGCACTGGAGAAGCCCCCAGGAGATGCCCATGATGCTGACTCAGGGCACCTCTTGGAGAAGGCAGGCTGCAGATAACTCTTTTACAAAGAAATCCACACAATTACAGGGTAACTTGCTTTGTCATCATTTCAGGAAATTGAATGGCATTGGGATAACAAAACCAAGTCATTTGCTTTGCAAATGGAAGTGGTGAGAATGAGTCCATTTAAAGCTTCAAGGACTCCTTTATGATTTTTTTTTAAGATTTTATTTTTATTTATTTATTTGACAGAGAGAGAGCAAGAGAGGGAACACAAGCAGGGGGAGTGGGAGAGGGAGAAGCAGGCTTCCCGCTGAGCAGGGAGCCCGATGCGGGGCTCAATCCCAGGACCCTGGGATCATGACCTGAGCTGAAGGCAGACACTTAATGACTGAGTCACCCAGGCACCCCTCCTTTATGATTTTTTAAAAAGTAATCTCTACACCCAGTGTGGGGCTTGAACTCAACCCTGAGATCAAGAGTCTCATGCTCTGGGGCACCCAGGTGGCTCAGTCGTTTAAGCAGCTGACTCTTGATGTCGGTTCGGGTCATGATCTCAAGGTCCTGGGATCCAGCCCCACATTGTGCTCCCTGCTCAAGGATTCTCTCCCTCTTTCTCTCTGCCCCTCCTACCACTCATGCATTTTCTCTCTCTCTCTCTAAAATAAATAAATAAATCTTTTAAAAAAATCACAAGCTCTACTGGCTGAGCCAGCCAGGAGCCCCAAGACTCCTTTAGGGACAGCTGGAATTCCTGGTAAGGTTGAAACTACAATGGAATGGGCAGAAAGGCAGAAAGTCTCTTGGTTCCTTTTGGAGCTTCATTTGTGGCCTCCTTCAATACCCCTCTTCCTGTGGTCATAGTTATTAGATGGCTACAGGAAACATGGACATATTCTGTTCATACAATAGACTTCACAACTTGAATTCATGATGCCTTAGTAAGAGAGAGCATTGTGATGAGGTCATGATCTCAGGGTCATGAGATTGAGCCCTGTATAGGGCTCTGTGCTGGGCCTGGAGCCTGCTTAAGATACTCTCTCCTTCTCCCTCTGCCCCTCCCCGCTGCTCACAAGCACATACGCGTGCACGCGCTCTCTCTCTCTCTCTCAAAAAAGAGAGAGAGAGAGAGCATTGTGCTTCTTCTTCTTCATCCTCGCACAAACCAGGTTGTTAAGAGAAGGCTTAACGCTGCAAGCATCTGACAGCATGCACGTTTTGCCCATTTAACCTGCCCAGGACATGCTGTTTATTGGTGGTTACATACGGGTAAGATCATCTGACACCCCCCAGCATGAAGTCTGGTGTTGTAGGCTCTTGAATGCATTAATCTTGATCAAACAAGCTGAATAAGGGGGAGAACTTCAAATAATTAAGAATGCATTGGAGTCAGAAGAATTTTAAATGGGGAAAATGGGATTCTGAAACTTGACTGCACATTAACTATTCTGAATTCAGGTAATCACAAACTATCATTTATTACTTATCTGGTAAGTATGTAGGGACAGCATAAATAGAGGATAGGAAAGTGAGCTCCAACTGTATGGACGGTATGTGGGGGTATCCGTCTGCTCAGGCTGCTGTAACCAAATACCACGGCCTTAGTGGCTTCGACAACAGACAGTTATTTCTCAGTTCTGGGGCTGGGAGTTCCAAGATCCAGATGCTAGCTGATTCACTTCCTGGTAAGGAACGGCCTTCTCCATGGTTTGCAGGTAGCCTTCCCCCTGTGTCTTTAAGTGGCAGAGAGGGAGAGAGTGACCTCTCTGTCTTCCTCTTCTTATAAGGCTACTGATTTCCTTCTGAGGGTCCTAACCTCAAAATGCCCTACCCCATCCAGCCCAAAGTACCTCCCCAAGGCCCCATCTCCAGATATGATCGCATTGGGATAGGGTTTCAACATGTGATTTGGGGGGCACCATTCAGTCTATAGTAGTGCGAAAGGCTGATGAGATGGTGACTTTGTAATTCTAACACGAGCACAAAGACAAAGACTTTTTTGTTGCTTTTCAACTTATATATACTTTTTACATTTGTTGTCTCTAGAACCACAAGTGTGTGTGTATCATACTGATGTCCCATCTGGAAATAAGGTCCCTGATGACAGTGCCGTCACATTATTGAAGGTTCCTCATTCTAAAATCAGTTTATTCTCCTACCCACAATATCACCTTTAAAAAAGACAGTTGTGACGAATTTACTAACTTACATAATCTTACTCTAAGAAGACAAATTTAGTCCTACTTCACGAAGACAAATTTACTTCTAGCATGTTAGAAAAAAATCTACACTTTCTAGTACTCACTGGAAAGCGAACATGGCAGACAAATGTGACATGGAAAGACTGGCTTACTAGGACAGATTCATGGGAGTGATGGATAAAATGGAGCAACAAACTGCCCAGATGTCAGAAACAAAGCAAGAAACCAAAGCCAAAGCAAAAAGTACAAGCCAATGGTGCAGGGACCTCTGGGAGTTTCAGCTTTGGGTAAAGGCCCTTGGGGATGAGGATGGGCAGGGGAGGAGGCAGAGCTGGGGGCAGAAAATCAGGCCTTACAGTCGCTGGGCAGGGAAGCTGAAGCCAGCCCCCTGCAGAAAGCCTGGAGCCTCAGGAGAGCTAGCAAAACTCCACTCATTGGCCAAGGGAAGGAGCAAGGAAGTTTGCTATAATTGAGCCCAAGAGTGGGCACAAGCCAGGAAAGGGACATCATTTGAGAGCAACTGATACCAACCTAGGCCACATCCTGAGAAGTCTGAATTTATACTATTTGCCTAGAAAGCTAGCTCTAAGTCCATTTCTTGGAATGCACTCTCTAAGCCAATAAATTAACATAAAAATACATCCAGAGCCTTGAAACCCCTAGGAATCTGATAGAAGCAGAGCATTCCCGTGAGGTCACTTTCACAACCTCTGGGTCAGAACCTGGCTAGTCTGCTAGGGCTACCATAACAAAATGCCCCAGACTGGGTGTCGTAAGCAACAGAATAAGGCTGGAAGTCCAAGATCAAGATGTTAGCAGGTTTGCTTTCTCCTGAGGCCTCTCTGCTTGGCTTGCAGGCAGCTGCCTTCCTTCTCTGTCCTCACATGGCCTTTCCTCTGTGTGTGCACATCCTTGGTGTGTCTTGCACTTTTTTTTAGAGGAGGGTGACAGAGGGAAAGGGAGAGAGAGAATCTTAAGCAGGCTCCATGCCCAGCATGGAGCCCGATACAGGGCTTGATCTAACAACCCTGAGATCATGACCTGAGCCAAAATCAAGGTCAGATGCTAAAGCCACCTACGCACCCCTGTGTCTCTTCCACTTCTTATAAGGACATCATTAGTCATATCAGGTTACCCTTATGAACTTATCTAATGTTAATCACCTCTTTAAGGGGCACCTGGCTGGCTCAGTTGGTGGAACGTGCAACTCTTGATCTTGGGGTTGTAAGTTCAAGCCCCATGCTGGGTATTGAGATTACTTTAAAAAAAATCACCTCTTTAGGGGCACCTGGGTGGCTCAGGTGGTTGGGCGTCTGCCTTTGGCTCAGGTCGTGATCTCTAGATCCTGGGATCGAGCCCCATGTCGGGCTCCCAGCATAATGGGGAATCTGCTTCTCCCTCTCCCTCTGCCTCTCCCCCTGCTTGTGCTCTCTGTCTCTCTCTCAAATGAATAAATAAAAAAAAAAACTTTTAAGAAATCACCTCTTTAAAGGTCATATGTCTAAATACAGTCACATTGGGGGTTAGGGCTACAACATATATGAGTTTGGGGTGGGTGACATGGTTTAGTCCATAACAGAAACCTCTCTCAGAAAAGCAAATGAACCCATGGAAGATGAATTCACAACCAGCAAAACAAAATGTTACAAAGTACATAAGGAATGCTACCTTATAGGAGAGTTATCAGAGGCAACAATCAAGAGACTTAGCCCCAAAACAACTACAGATGGCAGAACAAAAATCAGACACTCTAAAATAACTAGAATGAGGAAAGAGATCTTTAAAAAGAATTGAAAATGTAACAAAACAACAGGATGCCATGGAAATAAAGAACAGGCAGATTTGGAAAGAAACAAATGGAATGTCTGGCAATGGACATTATAGTCATTACAATCTCACTGAATAAGTTAAATTAGCATATTAGACACATCAGAAGAGAAATTTAGCCAATTGGAAGATATAGTTGAGGAAACCACCTTGAATGAAGTACAGAGAGAAAGAGGTGGAGGAGATGAAAGAATGGTTCAGGGTGTGGAAAACAGAATGAGAAGGTCCAACATGCACCTGCTGTGTCTCAGGGAGACACAGGGAGAGAAGGGCAAATGGGAGACAGGCAATATTCAAAAAGAAAGTTGGTGAAAATTTTCTATAATGAAATATTGGAAACTAAACATTGAAGAAATACACTGATTCTCAAGTAGGAAAAACAAAAACAAGTGTATATCTAGTTTGAAAAAAATCCAACAATTCCAATGTTTCCCA